CTCGGGACCCCGGACCATCGGAGGTGCTCAGCATCATGGTGCCCCTCTCTCTCTCTCTCTCACACACACACACACACACATACACACACACACACACACACACATGCCGATGGTCTGGCGTCCTCGGGACGCCGGACCATTGGAGGGGCTCAGTGTCACGGTGCCCCTCTCTCTCTCTCGCATACTCACACACACACACACACACACACACACACACGCATACATATAACTAAAGGGTCTTCGATGCCAGGTCAACCGATAAGAAAAACGAGGGACAAGGGATGGCCATGGTTTGTTAAAAAAAATGAAGGGACAGGGGATGGTCATGGAGGGTAAATTCGGACTGAGGCGGACTGAATGGGGAATATACCTCAGTTGACAACATGGTTGAAGCCCCTCTCTGATATAGTACTGGCTTTGATGTGAGGCAATATAGTTATGGGCCTCACTTTCGAGAATTCAGAAATTGGGCCCGCAGTGGAATACAGAGGCCGCCCCTTATGCCGCAGGCATGAGGGAAGATTCTGCCAAGCAGTAGAGGGCTTTCATATGCCTCTGCAGAATTTCCCCTTTTTTAGGCTGCCCCCCCAAAAAAACCTCCACTCCCTTTCCCTTTCCCTTTCCCTCCCTTTCCCTCCCTTCGCATGAAGAGGTGCTCGCGCCAGTCAAATTTTGAACTATTTAACGAATGAACAGTAGAGGTCCGTCCCTCAATCGTCGCGCCTTCAGGGATGGTGTTCTTGATTGCAGTCCTCACGGAGCTGCATTATTGAAGCGCCCTCTACTGAAGCGCGTAGAAGACGCTCGAAGTTTCCCGAGTACGGTCTTACTACCGTCTTTTTTTTTTTCTCTCTCTCTCTCTCTCTCTCTCTCTCTCTCTCTCTCTCTCTCTCTCTCTCTCTCTCTCTCTCTCCGTTACAAGTTCGTTGTCTGCTGTCCCCACTCCATCATCTCCTCCGGCTTGTCAGAACAACTCCCCACTGAGGACTTGGTTTTCAAACAGCGGACCTCGTTCGCACCAATCAGTGGAGCAGTGGTGGCATCATCTTCACGCTCCTCGGTAATATGCTGCCGGTCCATCCCTTTGCCTCCCCTCTACCCCCTTTTTTTTCTCTCTTCCCTCTCTCAAGCTTGTAAGAGCTTAGTCCCTTTCGGAACGACAACGGAGGGGTCCTTTTCCCCTGATGAGACAATCCTGGTAGGAATTGGCGAAAAGGCCTTTGGGATTTCCTACCACCCCCTGTTGTTTCGTCAGCGTACATAGAGCTGCTTGGCTGAACTGGGACCTCCTTCTCCTTCTTCCTTTTTTTTCCCTTCCCTCCCTTCCCCCTCCTTCTTACCCCCTCCCTCGTAAAGATATTTGGTGCTACCTAACCTCCCCATTGCTATACATACTTGTCATTGTTATGTGTGAATGATTTGCTTGTAGGAGCTCGTGGCTGCATCTGATTGTGTTTGAGGACTTCTTGAGCGAATCTCCGCCTTCGATGGAGTCTGCAATCTTCGTGCTTGGGATCATAAGTGTCGCCGCACTTCTTTTGGGGTACCTGGCATTCATTACGTCCATTGAGGAGCTTCGCTGTAATATTCTGTGTTGTCAGCTTTTCGCACGAGGCAATTGCTCGGAGATACAGAGTGTAAGAGGGAGGTGCTTGGTAAGGCAATAAGCTCGCATGGACTGCCGCGTCACTTTTAGAAAATTACTTCTAATGTTTTTATTGTTTTCTATCCTAATGGCGGGAATCTTGTTGCTTGTCTTACGGCCGCATGAGGAGGAAGGAGGGGGGTATGATGTTTGTAGGGTGCCTAGCTCGTGTATGTGTCGGCGTGATCAAATGGAGGTGATGCTAGCGATAATAACGATGTTTTTTTCCTTTATGATTTCGGTTCTTGCATTAGTTATGGGTGATAGGCCCCGAACGAATTGGCTCATTCTCTACAATCATGGGGGCTATGGTTGATCGTGGGGGAAGTAGCGCGAAGTGAGGGATTGATGAGGTGTTTTTTTTTTGTGATGAGGGAGTCAGCTATGGCAGCCTACGGTGACGAAGGGGAGGGCTTGATTTTGTGGCTTCGACATGATATAGGTCTATGTTTCAAGTATGACCTTGATTGAGCTTGCGATCTAATGTTGTCGGAGGGGCCACATGTGCGAAGAGTTCGCCTGGAGTATTGGGGATCGTAGCCTATCTGCGGCATCAGGTGGAATTGACGGCGGCATACTTTTAGCGGATTGATGGGTGGGGGCGCTCTATCTGAAGTTTGGTTCATTGGAATGTTGTGAGGCAGGGTCGATATGGTGTACCAAACATTCATGGAATCCGGTTTTCCCGGACCATTTTTTTTGCTCCTTTTGAGTGATGATGAATAATTGCTATTTTCTAACTCTTTTTTAGTAATGATGAATGATTGTTATTTTGCCTTTTTTTTTTTTTTTCATAGCATAATCGGGGTTGGATTACTCATCTACATTCTAAAGGATCCGGCACGGTGATGATTCGTGAAGAACCACTTAATCCCAGTCTTTCTTCCATTTCTTCTTTCTCCTCCTTTCCCCTTTCTTTTTTCCCCCCCCTCTCTCTCTCACCCTCTCTCTCTCTCCTCCCCTCTCTCACTCTCTTCCCCCCCCCCTCTCTCTCTCTCTCTCTCTCTCTCTCTCTCTCTCTCTCTCTCTCTTTCTCTCTCCTCTCCGAGCCTATGATCCTACCCATCCCGACGAGCAGTGGTCTTTACATAGGACGAATGAGGGGATATTCCTTTGGTAATAATGATTAGTAATTCCTTTCTCGGTGTAACGGTTTCCTGTGTTCTCTATGCTTGGAATCTCGGGTCTCGGGGTTGGTCGTCGAGTTGTTTCATGGTATTCTTTGTCGCATATAAGCTTTGCAACTTGCCGCGACTATGTTTGCGGGGGCTTCGTCTCTCATCAAACACTCACAGGGCCCTCATGGGCCCGACTGTTTACCAGCAAGGTGGTCGACTCCACTTTGCCGAGTTGCATACTGTTTGGCATTTTTACCATATGGATGATCCGACCTTGACCTAGTGATTCCTTGGCATATGAGAACATCATGGTTCCCTTATTACTGAGTATTACATGCTGAATCTTACCAATTTTACCTTGTTTCTTCATGTGTAGTAGAAGCCGTTTTTCTCGCCGGATGGATGGTACACTGAGCTTCTTGCTGGTGAGCAATCATGGCTGGAGCAGTTTCCCGCACCGTCACGACCGGCACAAGCGCTGATGTCGATCGCAAACCCCATGGTTATGGAGTTCGTGAAGATGAATTCCCTCCATGTCCCACCTCCCCACCCACCCCTAGTTACGGTCCTCTCGTTCAATGACTGGGCGGAGATTCTTTAGTCCGCTTCAAATGATGGAGCGTCGTTCTTAGAGGTGTCGAAGGGCTTTGTCCTCAACGCTAAGCAGGTATTAGAGGATGATCTTTTCACAGAGGCAACCATCAGGGATAATACGGCAATGAAGGAGAAGGTTTTTGTCGATTTGTGGAATGCGGAGTCTCAGTTCCATTCTGATCTAGTCCAGGTGGCGTCGGGTGGGGTTGGATTATCGGAGCCAGACTCTGATGACGATGATGGCGTCATTCTCACTGAGGAGGAGAGGAATTTTCACGCCATGTACGTCGCCGAGTCCAATGCACAGATGGCTGTAGGAATGGCTAAGGATAAGGGTAGGGGGGTCAATAAGTTTTTTCGAAATGGCTTTCTTCCCATAGCTCCATCCAGGTGGATCGAGTCTGAAGCTAAGGCGAAGGGTGATAAGGTCTAGGACTTTGAAACTTTCAACCACGAAGCCCCGATTAGTGTCAGTGCATATAGATTCCTTGCCTCCCTCACCGAGATGGAATTGGACTGTTGTTATGATAAGGCTTTATCTGAGAATACTGAACTCGTCAAGGGCCCATACCCCCCCACAGCGGATTCGATGAAGCTCCCGATAGTTGGCCACTTTGATCCGTTGAAATGCTCTATCACCTCGTCATAGCTTGCGATTCGAGGCTTCTTCCCTCCGAAGGTTCAAACTCCGCTGGCTGAATTGAAGAGGATTTGGAATGTTGGTCGTCCTTACCTCAAGTGCCGCTGTTTGGAGAGTGGGAAGCCCGATTGCAAGACTAACATCACCTGGTTTGGCCAGGTGTTGTGGTACTTGCTGGCCAACCTGGAATATCAGTTCCCTGCTGCTCCCACTCTCAGGGTGAGAATGAGGGCGATGAGATCTTTTCTGAAGAAAACCTGGCGAGCTCCTATTTTGGCATGTGTAGTTTTCGGCCACATGAGGGCGATCATGGTGAGGATGGCACATGGTGTGCTGAATAACCCTGCGGTGAGGCAGGAGAGGATTCTTGATGACGAGGCACTCATGACTAGGAAGTTCCCGAGGATGATGGCGGCCCTCATGCTTCCGGATAAGTACCTCAAGAGCCCTTCCAAGCGCAAAAGAAATGAGGCCCGGGCTGTGCGACCTGCGAAGAGGCAGGCCAACACAATCCTTTCATATTATGTGAGGCCTCCCCCAGATGCTGATGAGGGTCATGAATCACCTCCTGGCCAGCTGCACGCTGTCGTTGCAGAAACCCCTCCGGAGTCCACCATCACCTCGCAGTTGGAGTCTGGGAATTCCGCTACGACCAAGCAGCCGCTCCGCTTCCAGAGGCCTAACGTGTCTGCGAGGACGCTCTTCAAAGGATGAGTCTACAGTAGGAGGAGCATGGATGTATTCACGTGTATATACCTGTACAAAGGCTTATCTACGATACATTGCTAATTCGTGAGATTGTTTGCCGTTCTTTAATCTGTGGTCTGCAGGGTCTTGGGGAAGGCGGTGGGACTATGATTAAGGACGAGGCGGGCAGAAATAAGTGGATAAATGCGCCATTCTCCACAGGCGAATCTGTTTGTCCATATTAAGTACGAGAATAGGGCCATGGAGGTCGTCAGATTCAGGGCTATAGTGGAGAAAGCCTTCGAAGAATTTTTCCCTCCTGTAGCTATTATCCTCCTTGTGTCCATTGTATTGGGTTGGACTTATCTTGATTCGTTGGGGTCTGTTGTGTATAGGCCGGCGCGGGTGTTCAGGGATTTTGGGCTTGAGGAATGGCTTGCCTTTTGCTCGGAGACAATGTTGTGTCCATGTTCGTCATCGAGATACAACCAATTTTACTTGTCTGAGACTCTTAGTATGACGCAACCTTTTTGCACTCCTTCGGAGCATGTTCTTACGCTGGACCCTTCAATTACCCACAACTAGGCCTTGAGAACCCTTTTCTTGCAGGGGCTAAACCATATCCCCCTCCAGCCCAGGTCTTTCAAGTATGCCTTCCGTTCTTTCGTTGTTGCTTGGGATCGGATTGTAGACCTTGTGAATTCGAGGACCTTCATTCCTGCCCTGGCCATCAGACCTGCAACCGACTTAGTCAGAAGACAGGTTAAAACCCAGTTGTCTACCCTTGGGTTGAAGAGGCATTCAGATCCTCCATCTCCGCTGAATGTCCACGTGGTAAGGAATGAAATAGACTTCCTAACGAAGAACTTATTCATTGCCGGCACAGACAAGGCGTCTAATACTCCGTCATTCGCCTGTATCCATCTGGTAAGGGGATTAGCGTTGGAGAGGCTTAAGAGTGAGGATTTTGAGCGCGTAGATATCACACCGAGGGATATCTTTGATGAGGCTTCTGAGTCTTTGTCATAAACATCTCCCTATCTATGTATTGGCCCCGAGAAATTGCCGTGCCTGATGGCCCTATACAAGCATCACAAAAGGACCTTTCGATGGCTTACCAATGCGGCGGTGACTTTCCTCACTCCAGTAGCTTCCCTATGTGACTCTATTACTAAGGCCCTAATTCTATTTGTAAAGCTCAGATGCAAGGAGATCACGGATGGCTTGCGGTCGTTCCATGGGGTGGATACTTCGATCTGGTGGGCTATAGACTCTGTGCAAGATTATTGTTATAATCTGCCAACTGAGGTATTTTCGGTGTTTTCTGGGGACATCGCCTGCTGTTTTGAGACCATTCCCATCAGCGGGGATGCTGATGGTCTTCCTGCTGCGTTCAGGTTTTTCATGAATATAGCTTGGGTGATGGCTGACAACCAGAAAGTCGGCAAGCATATGAAATGCAGGATTTGTTAAATGGTAGGATTGAGTGTGCTTTCTCAAAAAGTCCGACACCTGGTAGCTCCTCATTATTCTTCCTCACCCAGGATGAAGTGAATGCCCTGATTAGCTGGGTTCTATGCAGGGGTTATACCTCCTTGGGGGGAACTGTGTGGAGGCAAACTAAGGGCATCCCCATGGGATTACCCTGCTCGCCATCATTATGCATGCTTTATTTTTTCAAATATGAGTTCCAACTCATCCTCAGGATTGTGGATAATCGAGCATATCAAATCCTCCCACTGTTTGAACACGCCTTTAGATACATTGATGACCTACACGTTCTGAATAATCCACTCATCCTAAAATTCCTCGACCCAGAGCAACCCCGCGTGAAGACAAATGTGTTTCACCTGTATCCAATGCATCTCATCACCATAAAGAACCAAACTGAGGTGTTCCTTACACAGGACACTGGGGAAACTTATGGTTTGAAGGCACAGTTTTTGAATTCCGAGATAATTGTTACCTCGGATCTCACAGGGGACTTCCACACGACCAAGTTCGATAAGCATAGAACGCTAAACTTTCCTATCTGCAGATATGTCAAATACCACTCCAATAGGCATATTCAGCAATCGCTGAATATAATAATTCCGCAGGTGGCAATTATCCTGGTACTGTGCACTTCCCCTGATTCTGCGACCATGGAAATCATGCATATAGTCAATGAGATGGTTGGCAATGGGTTCCTGCTCAAGAGATGTGTTGCCTGTGTGTTTAGAGTCCTTAATTCTCCCCTTTTATGCATGCCACCCAGGACGAATGTTCCGGCAACTTCTGCCAAGGTCAAGGTATGTATTTTCAAGATTGCATGCTATATAGTCTTAATTAGCTTATTTATATTTATATTTATCTGTGCCCTGTGTTCTGTGTGGGTGTTTTTCTCATTTCAGCCCCGACCAAGAGGACTGTTATGGCAGCCGGCGGGTATCCAGCCTATTAAGGCGGGTACCTGCTACCAGCCTTAACAGTCTGGACCCACTGGCGGGACAAGGGTGGGTCACACACACACACACACACACACAGACACACACACACACACACACACACACACACACACACACACACACGCATACATATAACTAAAGCGCCTGGGATGCCAGGTGAACCGATAAGAAAAATGAGGGACAAGGGATGGTCATGGTTTGTTAAAAAAAATGAAGGGACAGGGGATGGTCATGGAGGGTAAATTCAGACTGAGGCGGACAGAATGGGGCACACACCTCAGTTGACAACATAGTTGAAGCCCCTCTCTGATATAGTACTGGCTTTTATGTGAGGCAATATAGTTATGGGCCTCACTTTCGAGAATTCAGAAATTGGGCCCGTAGTGGAATACATAGGCCGCCCCTTATGTCGCACGCATGAGGGAAGATTCTGCCAAGCAGTAGAGGGCTTTCATATGCCTCTGCAGAATTTCCCCTTTTTTAGGCTGACCCCCCAAAAAAACCTCCCCTCCCTTTCCCTTTCCCTCCCTTTCCCTCCCTTCGCATGAAGAGGTGCTTGCGCCAGTCAAATTTTGAACTATTTAACGAATGAACAGTAGAGGTCCGTCCCTCAATTGTCGTGCCTTGAGGAATGGTGTTCTCGATTGCAGTCCTCACGGAGCAGCATTATCGAAGCGCCCTCTACTGAAGCGCGTAGAAGACGCTCGAATTTTCCCGAGTACGATCTTACTGTCGTCTCTCTCTCTCTCTCTCTCTCTCTCTCTCTCTCTCTCTCTCTCTCTCTCTCTCTCCTACAAGTTCGCTGTCTGCCGTCCCCACTCCATCATCTCCTCCGGCTTATCTGAATAACTCCCCACTGAGGACTTGGTTTTCAAACAGCGGACCTCGTTCGCACCAATGAGTGGAGCAGTGGCGGCATCATCTTCACGCTCCTCGGTTATATGCTTCCGGTCTATCCCTTTGCCTCCCCTCTACCCCTTTTTTTTTCTCTCTCCCCTCTCTCAAGCTTGTAAGAGCTTAGTCCCTTTCGGAACGACAACGGAGGGGTCCTTTTCCCCTGATGAGCCAATCCTGGTAGGAGTTGGCGAAAAGGCCTTTGGGATTTCCTACCACCCCCTGCTGTTTCGTCAGCGTACATAGAGCTGCTTGGCTGAACTGGGACCTCCTTCTCCTTCTTCCTTTTTTTTCCCCCCCTCCCTTCCCCCTCCTTCTTACCCCCTCCCTCGTAAAGATACATGGTGCTACCTAACCTCCCCATTGCTATACATACTTGCCATTGTTATGTGTGAATGATTTGCTTGTAGGAGCTCGTGGCTGCATCTGATTGTGCTTGAGGACTTCTTGAGCGAATCTCCGCCTTCGATGGAGTCTGCAATCTTCGTGCTTGGGATCATAAGTGTTGCTGCGCTTCTTTTGGGGTACCTGGCATTCATTACGTCCATTGAGGAGCGTCGCTGTAATATTCTGTGTTGTCAGCTTTTCGCACGAGGCAATTGCTCGGAGATACTGAGTGGAAGAGGGAGGTGCTTGGCAAGGCAATAAGCTCGCATGGACTGCCGCGTTACTTTTAGAAAATTACTTCTAATGTTTTTATTGTTTTCTATCCTAATGGCGGGAATCTTGTTGCTTGTCTTACGGCCGCATGAGGAGGAAGGAGGGGGGCATGATGTGTGTAGGGTGCCTAGGGTGACGAACGGGAGGGCTTGATTTTGTGGCTTCGACATGATATAGGTCTATGTTTCAAGTGTGACCTTGATTGAGCTTGTGATCTAATGTCGTTGGAGGGGTCACATGTCCGGAGAGTTCGCCTGGAGTATTGGGGATCGTAGCCTATCTGCGGCATCAGGTGGAATCGACGGCGGCGTACTCTTAGCGGATTGATGGGTGGGGGTGCTCTGTCTGAAGTTTGGTTCATTGGAATGTTGTGAGGCAGGGTCGATATGGTGTACCGAACATTCGTGGAATCCGGTTTTCTCGGACCATTTTTTTTGCTCCTTTTGAGTGATAATGAATGATTGTTATTTTCTAACTCTTTTTTAGTAATGATGAATGATTGTTATTTTCCCTTCTTTTTTTCTTTTCATAGCATAATCGGGGTTGGCTTACTCATCTGCATTCTAAAGGATCCTGCACGGTGATGATTCCTGAAGAACCACTTAATCCCAGTCTTTCTTCCATTTCTTCTTTCTCCTCCTTTCCCCTTTCTTTTTTTCCCCCCTTCTCTCTCTCTCCCTCTCCCTCTCTCTCTCTCTCTCTCTCTCTCTCTCTCTCTCTCTCTCTCTCTCTCTCTCTCTCTCTCTCTCTCTCTCTCTCTGTGTCTCCCTCTCTTTCTCTCTCCTCTCCGAGCCTATGATCCTACCCATCCCGACGAGCAGTGGTCTTTACGTAGGACGAATGAGGGGATATTCCTTTGGTAATGATGATCAGTAATTCCTTTCTCGGTGTAACGGTTTCCTGTGTTCTCTATGCTTGGAATCTCGGGTCTCGGGGTCGGTCGTTGAGTTGTTTCATGGTATTCTTTATCACATATAAGCTTTGCAACTCACCGCGACTATGTTTGCGGGGGCTCCGTCTCTCATCACGCACACACACACACAGACACACACACACACACACACACACACAGA